CCCTTCTTTCCAGAAGGGAATTCGCTCTTCTTGATCACATTTTGGTGGCAAAAAGAGACTTCAGATTGCATTTTTTTGTCATCTCCGCTACCATTTGACCGCCATAAAAAAAAAAATCCCACGAGACGTGTTCTGAGAACTGCCCCAAATAAATGGCTTAAACAGGGGACAAGCAAGAGGGGATCTGAGTCGTGCAGACGATCGGTTTTCCACAGCCCCAACGGGCCGACCAGGCGGCTTACGCAGTGTCTTACTTAGGAGCTTGCTGTGGGAAAACTAGAACCATGGAATGGTTTGGATTGGGAGGGACCTTAAAGATCATCCAGTTCCAACCCCCCTGCCATGGGCAGGGACCCCTTCCATAGCCCAGGTTGCTCCAAGCCTCATCCAGCCTGGCCTTGGACACTCCCAGGGATGGGGCATCCACAGCTTCTCTGGGAACCTGTCCCAGTGCTCCCACCCTCTGCGGGAAGAATTCCGTCCTGATGGCCCATCTCCTTCTTCCCATTCAAACCCATCACCCCTTGTCCTGTCACTCCCTGCCCTTGGGAAAAGCCCCCCCAGCTCTCTTGTAGGCCCCATTCAGGTCCTGGAAGGCTGCCATAAGGTCTCCCCAGAGCCTCCTCTTGGGACATAAAATATAAGCTGGAATAAGTAAGCACAGAGCAATTAGATCTTAAATCTTGTGTCATTAAGCTACGTCCACCCCTCTTATTCAAACAGAGCCATGATTCTGGCCAAACAAACGCTCAACCCGCTGTAAACCTCAGCTGGGTTGGCCTACAGCCAGGCTTCACAGGCCGAAGGCGACGCTGCCGTCGCACGACGGGGCCTGGCTACGGAACGCTCGGCATGACGGAGCGAGGGACTAATTCCCGCCGCCCGGTTACGCTTCGGAAGCACAGCAATGCTCGTTGTACCGAAGAAGGACGACGTTTCGAGGAAGCCCGTGTCAGCACTCGCGCTGGGTAGCTGATGTTTTGTTCCCCCGCTTCCTCAACATCCACGTGCCTGTGGAACTTCTCAGGGAAACGTGGGCCTAACACTAATCTGATGAGTAAAATACCTCGTAATCGACGGGGAAAGCAGCCAACTGACTTGAGAGCCTTAAAGACCACTTTCTCGGCCTGTTACCATGAACTTTTGAACGCTTACAGGGCCAAGCGAAGTTTTGTAGGGGGATAAACCCCCAGATCCCGCGCGGATAACCGCTACAGCGGCTCGATAACCACCTATCCGCTCTTCTCAATATTCATCCTCCACAGAAACATCCAGAAGCAGCACCAAACCCCTCTGCGAGGCTCCTCGGACAAAGCTTCCCTCCGCCGGCGACGCTTCCAGCGGGAACCATTTGGAATCACGTTACCCCACGCCCCAGAAGTAACGGTGCCGTAGCGACGGGCGGCCTATAAATAGGCCGGGCTAAATCACCCACGCCGTTAATTAACGGGGACGCGTCTGGGCAGGGGAGAGCCGCAGCGCGAGTCTTGGCGCGGGCTGCGGGAGAGATTATTCAGCACCTCATCATTATGCAAAAGATGCAGAGACAAAACGCCGAAGAGACCGTAGTTACAAGCTTCTTTTGACACTAAACTCACGCTACGCGCCGAGCGCTTCGTCAGCCCAACTCGGAAAACGTCTCCTCTCACGTTAACAGCTTTGTTTTGCAAGGCTTTGATCTCCAACAGTTCTGCGTGTAAGAAGCCTTTGCTCAATAAAATGATTAATCCCGATGATAAATACTCTACATTGAGCTTTTCAGCGCGGAGCTGGCAGATGCTTTGCTGGAAAACGAGTGCCAAAAGAATTACAAAAAGAAGAAAAAAAAAAAGACACCCCAGGCATTAAAGCGTTCCGGCAAGAAGGAGGAACTCGCCAGCTGAAAGGTACCTTAGAATCATAGAACCATAGAATGGTTTGGGTTGGAAGGGACCTTAAAGATCATCCAGTTCCAACCTCCCTGCCCAGGGACACCTTCCACTAGACCAGGTTGCTCCAAGCCTCATCCAGCCTGGCCTTGAAGACATCCAGGGATGGGGCATCCACAACAACCTTCCCTCCCTTCGTCTGGAAAACGGGAGACGACCTCCACCGGGAGAGCCAGCATCGCTCAGCCTTACCCACAACCGCTGGTTTCTGGCAGGCGTTGGGGAAGCCAACGGC